CTCGGGCGGCTTCAGGATCTCCGTCCTCGCCTAGGTGATGCTGGTTGGGGTTCACAGAGAAGTGAGCCGTCCCCCGTCCTTCCTTGGTAGGAGAAGGGCGGTGGGTTTTTGCCGAGGCTGGGGGCGACCACTCCCGTTCCATGTTGGGGAAGAAAGGTGGTCGTCCTGGACGGCCGGTGATCGGAGTTTTGCTTGCCTACACAGCCGCAGAACTACCTTTTAGACCTGCCTGTCCCCCCTAGACCTTCGCTCGCAAAGTCTTAGATTGTTGTTTTTCATTGTAGGAGATGTATGGGGAAGTATCCTTCCTAACGTAGAGATTGTTCTCAACTGTACTGTAGTAGATGCAAGAGATTATCCTTGAAATGTAATGAACATTTCTGTGACTGTATTTTGATGTTACCTGTTTACTTACAAGTTTCACCTTCTTTTCTTTCGCATCCTACATTTGACGTTCCGGTTCCCTCGGACTTGAATCAGAGAATACCTCGCCTCTTTTGACTTAGCCACTTTCGGGTTACTTTGACCCTTGTGGCGTCGCCATACCCCCAAGATCCCCTGGTCGCTCATGCGATCAACAGATCCTGTGTTCCAGACTTAGCCGTTCTCTTAGACTTTCTTGCCACGGCGTCGTCTTCAACCTTGGTCGCCTGACAGGGTTCGACGCTTCACCCACTACTGGGTATCTTAGCACGAATCACCGTGCAATTTTAGCGATCGATCTCTTGTGGTCGCTCCTCTTTTTTTTTTTCTTTTTTTTTTTTTTTTTTGAGAATTGGAGACAAGATGTGCCAGAGAGCTGGATTTATTAAATCTCAAAAAAAGACATGGCTGGAATACAATCTATTGATAAAATTTAATAAGGTTGGCGGCATTCCATACTCGCGGAACGACGCCACCGGTTGGAGTCTGCAATCTAAATGTCCCATCGGCCAACACCTCCTTTATGATATATGGCCCCTCGAAGCTTTTAGCAAACTTTCCTCCATCGGTCGGCCGGCTGACCTCCCTTTTCCGAAGGACCCAGTCGCCCATCTTGAACTGCCTTGGTCGCACCCGCTGGTCGTGATATGACTTGACCTGCCGGCGGTAGTTTTCTGCCCGCATATATGCCCTTTCCCTTCGCTCATCAATGAGGTGCAGCTCTGCCCTCAGGTTCTCCTCATTTCCTTGAGCATCAAACGTCTCTACTCTATAACTTAACAACGAGGTCTCCGCTGGAGCCCTTGCTTCAAATCCATATGTGAGCGAGAAAGG